ATTGAACTCATTCACGGCAGGCGCAGTGATACAACTATTCGACCACGGGTGTAAGCATGTTGCTGCCAGCCGGATTGAAGGCGCGCCACACTCAAGCAATTGATTGGGTCCCGTCCCGTGCGATATCCCTGGCTTTCGCGCCGCTAAAATCGCCGCAAAGGGAGGACTGCACGCCATTATCCTTGACTCTCTGTCCCGTTTTTACCACAATTGCAGTGGAAGAGTATCCCTGAATTGAAACGATTCAGAATCTCGGATTGGGTTTATAAAATTCATTTTTGTAAAATGAGGTAAGAAATGAGCGAAAATATTGCGTCAAAATTTCCGGCGACTGAAGAAAATCCGCGGAAATTCTTTGAAAAACTGTATTTGCCTTTCGTAACAAGAATGATTAAAAATAAGACATTATTTGAGGTCTGCAACGTTGCAGTCGGAGCTAAATACGCTTCCTTACGCGTGTAGGAAAGGATATTTGAACTCATTCACGGCAGGCGCAGTGATACAACATTCAACCACGGGTGTAAGCATGTTGCTGCCAGCCGGATTGAAGGCGCGCCGCACTCCAGAAATTACTCTGGTCCCGTCCCGTGCGATCTCCCTGGCTGGCGCGCCGCTAAAATCGCCTGAAAAGGGAGGACCGCACGTAATTATCCTTGCCTCTCTGTTCCGTTTTTAGCACAATTAATTGTCGGGTTTCTCGTGGGTTGCCGTTAGTTGGACTGAGTTAAGCAGAAAGGAACCAACCCACATTTTAGAAAAAATTGAGTTATGAGTGGTTTCATTTCTTTAAAATGAGGTATGAAACGAGCGAAAATATTGCGTCAAAATTTCCGGCGACTGAAGAAAATCCGCGGAAATTCCTTAGAAAAACTGTATTTGCCTTTCGTAACAAGAATGATTAAAAATAGGACATTATTTGAGGTCTGCAACGTTGCAGTCGGAGCTAAATACGCTTCCTTACGCGAGTAGGAAAGGATATTTGAACTCATTCACGACAGGCGCAGTGATACAACATTCGACCACGGGTGTAAGCATGTTGCTGCCAGCCGGATTGAAGGCGCGCCGCACTCCAGAAATTACTCTGGTCCCGTCCCGTGCGATCTCCCTGGCTGGCGCGCCGCTAAAATCGCCTGAAAAGGGAGGACCGCACGTCATTATCCTTGCCTCTCTGTTCCGTTTTTAGCACAATTCATTGTCGGGTTTCTCGTGGGTTGCCGTTAGTTTAGTCCATTACCTACTGCCTTGTCCATTGCAACCACTCGTTTCCACCAACAGGATCCCTCCATATCCCTTTTGTCTTTTTTTGTCTATAGCTTTGTCTATTAATTTCAATAATCGGCCAGTATTCTCAACCTTTTAATCGGGCAATCCTGTTTCAAGGGGGGAGTTGTCTTTTTTGTCTATAGCTTTGTCTACCAATTTCAATGATCGGCCCGCAGTAGAGTTCTCAACCTTTTAATCCGGCGATCCTTTTTCAAGGAAGAGAATAACCCTCGGGTGTTGATTGAACTCGAGCGCTCTCTTTTTAAGGAGCGAAGGCGTTTGATTCACTGAAACGGAACGATTGATTTGAGGCTCTTTTCTCAAGAGATACTCTATTATCGCGGGCGAACTCGACCAAGACTCTCGTTACAATACGAGGAAACTTTTAATTAGCAAGAATAACAAATTCCCGGGAATTTTTCATTCGCCATCCTCTCAGCGACAGGAAAATTCTGTCGTGTTCAGTAAAAACGACGTATGAACAATCGAATGTTGCCAAATTTCCTCTCAGAAAATGCTAAATTTTACAGAAAGTTATGAACGATTCTCCCTGAAATTTTCAGTTTTTTTTAGATTAGATTACGAACAAAATCCTCTAAATAACCGGAGAAGAAATATTAACAAATTTTCCTGGAAATTCCCGATTTGTCAAAGGAAATTTGGCAACGCCTGATGGCTCATGCGGCGTTCTTCCTTAGAGCGGCAGCGATGTCCGGACCCTTTTGAACCGGAGGTAAATTGATGGGATTATGGATTTCGCCGGTAGCGTGTCGTGCTTTGCAATTCATCGATTCATCTGCCGTTTACACCCATGCGGCAAAGGATCGATAAACAAAGTATTTGCAACGAAAACCTTAATAATCGATTTATTTACCCCGATTTCAAATGGGAAAATATCGGTAATTGATTATTCACGTCTCACCACTGATTTCGCTTCGCTTTATCGAGCAATAAGCAACCTGTGAATACTTTCACATTGAAAAGCCCAGATTCTTCCTTTACAAATTTCGATAATACGAATTCCAAGTAGCTTATTGAGGATAAAATTCTCAATAACGCTTAGAAAGTAACAGTTTTTTTCAGTAAACGGACTTTTTTCAGATATTTCCCAGGCTTTTCTCATTTATTTTTTACATAATGGAGCGACGGGGATTAGGGTAGATCAGGCCAGTCTGACTTACTTCAAAATCAGGTGAAGTGAGGGAGATAGGTTGCCTTGCGGATGTCTCATACGGAGAAAAAACTTCATCCGTGGAACTCGAAGTTCAGGTCATATGGGTCTCTGAAGTTTTCGGGTCGTGCACATCTGAAAATTTGAGGTCCAGCTGCCGAAGTTTGGGTTATACATCACCTCCGTTGAAAATTTTATGGAGTCAGTCCGAAGTATCGAAGTACCGAAGTACTTCACATGTATGACCCGACCTTCGGAGGCCGAAACCTCAGGTTTTCGGAACGGACCGACAACTTCAGAGATCCATAATGCCGTGCTAAGGAAGAACGCCGTCCAAACATTCGAGAGTTGTCAAATTTCCTTCGATAAAATGTTTATTTTCGCGGAAGGTTATAAATACTTTTCCTTGACATTTTCAGGAACTTCAGGTAAACTTGCAAACAAAGTTATCTGAAAAATTAGAAGGAAAATATTCATAAGTTTACCAGGAGATTCGTGTTTTATCAAAGGAAATTTCACATCACCTGAAGGTTCATACGGCGTCCTTCCTCAGCACGACAGCATATGACCTAAACTTCCGGTTCGCACGCCGGACGCAATACCAGGACCCCCCCCCCCCCCCCNCATATTTTCCTTTCATTCAATCCCGACAAAGAGTTTGATTCTGCCACGCTGATAGTAATAAAACTTTGCTCATTTTAAAATTACCCGAGAGACACGGAAATTAAATATTGCCGTTGTATTTTAAGCAGACGCTTGCGTATCTCATTCCCTACTTACTTCTCTCATCTTATCCATCGGGATCGAGGAGTTAATATAACCTAGCCGTCAAGAAATAAAAAACTCTGAGAAACTTTTAAATTTCATTCACTGTTGAAAAGCTCCGCTCCTGCAAAAAGAGAACGAGTTTAGCATTAAATGCGGCCGTATCAGAAACCTGTTCAGGATGAAAATTACGCATGGATATAACTTCGAAGTGAGAAGATGAAAACATACGGTGAAAAATTGAAATCAGTTTCTCCTTGTTTATAAGGGAGAAAAACTGAAATGTCGCAAATCGAAATAAGTATTCCCACTGGTTATTTAACTATCAAATATGACCGTCCTAGCAAATAATAACATCGACACTGAAAAAAAAAACAACATTTACTTTTAGGGATATTAAACATATGAAAGAGGGATATAAAAGAGAAACAGCCAAAGCCATAAAACCAAAACGGCCTCCGAAAATTGTTGGTGCCCAGTTCAAAAATATAGTGTGAAAAAAAGTGATTTAAAGTTTTTATCTGCCATTATTTTCGCCGCCTAAAACTGTCGAAATGAAATGAGTATTTACACTCTCGAAAGTCAAAAAATCTCAACTCTTCTTAAAACGCATTCCTCGGAATACTAGAGATCGGTCAACCAAGGCTCATGCACTGTCTTACTGTGGACCACCTTTACCACCTCTTGTTTACCTTTTGCCAAAACAGAACTATAAATGCTTTCATGGGAGCACTACACTTTACTTTTTTGGGGGGATGGGATATTTTTGGCGATTCGTATATGAAAATACGGCAACAGTGCAGGTGTTCAATGTTCAGAAATATCTATTTCTTCTATTTTCGTTCAGTACATTCATAATTTTGATTCCTTCATAATCTCCAACTTATTTTGTTCTGGAATATGAATGAGATATTGTTTGCTGCCATGAGCTTCAGCAATAGAGCATTCCATTTTGTTTGATAAATTATGGTCTAAATGGCATTTTACTTTGGTTGGACATATTGACCTACGGGCCTTAACCTACGGTTAAAATTTAAAAAATCGACGGTGTAGGTCCACAATCACGTATCTCGGTTTGCGACGTTGTAGACTTCCTGTCATACTTTAATTTTTTAGTGGAAAACTACTAGATGGCGCGTCTTGAAAACTGCCGTGGTTTTTCTTCTCTGTGCAAAAAAATTCTGCGAAAACTTCAAGGAAATGGTTTTTTCTTCTTTAAAAAATAAAATAAGAGTGGATGTTTTCAAACACCGCAAACGAGATACGAGGTTGTAGACTTACAAGGTCGAAATGCTTTGAGTACCTGAACAATTTTAGCGCACTGGAAAAAAAACACATTGGATATAGAGTCCAGACTCTTGAAAACATTGACAAGAAAAAATACTCTTGATTCAATCGAATTTTTGCTTGAATCAAAACGAAATCCGCTTAAATTAAGAGGCTTGGTTCTTAATTTATAAGCTAGATTCTGATTGAATCAACAGTACTTTTTCTTGTCGATGTTTTCAAGAGTCTGGACCCTAGATACAATGTGTTTTTTTTTTCCAGTGCGGATGATTAAACCCGCAAGAAAAGGCGATCATACAGCTAGGCAACTAGGCCCGAAACAAGCATACGTATTTCCCGCCACAATTGAGAATATATCTTTCTAGATTATCGTTAAGTAGAGCAACATCGCTCGGAGGAGAGATAGAACAGCGGCATTCGCGGCATATTCTTATCACCACCGCTAGATGTCTGCGACAAAGCACAAACATTTGAAATGAGCTGCATCACCTTTAGTGTTTATTTGTAAACTGTTCGAAATGGACGCGCGAATCTCTACAACTACCGAAACTCAGCCGCTCATAAAAAAATTCTCCAACTGTGAGGTTAAGTCTGTAGTGCAATTTTTGTGTCGAACGGGAGAGTCAATGGCTGAGATTCATAGACAGATTGTGCATGTTTATGGTGCTGCCGCAATTTGTGAACGGGATATCGTTAAGTGGTGTGCAGAGTTAAAATCAGAAAGCAAACTCCGAAGTCAATCGGCAAAGTTAAAAAACGTTGGCATCGAAAAGACCACTCCAAGGTAAGTATATAAATTACTTAAGTATATAAATTACTTAAGTATATAAATTACTTAAAAGAAAACCACAAACTTTGAGCAAATTGTTATAACATTAACAAGTATCTATATAAACACAACCAGGCATATCCTCTCTTGAAGATCTGGCCGGGGTAAGCGGTGCGACAGAAGTGCTTAAGTATTGATGTCGCCCAAACTCTTTTGATATTTTGCATTCACAACCCTTTAAAAAAAAAAGCTAGGGACTGGATAATAAAATTCCCGCCAATATTCAGTCATTAATATTCACGATTTTTGCTTCTTCTGTTAATTTTCTTCGTGTTTTACTTTTTAATTTCTTTCGGCATACAATAATTCCTAATGTCTCAAATAAAGGAACGGAATTTATTCCAAGTTTGCTATATGGACCCAAAAAATTCATTTTTTTTTTTTACAATCATGAGACTATAAGCGATTTCTGTCTAAAATATGCTGACTTATGCATAAAATTAGAAATTAATGCAGAAAAAATTCTCAAGGAGGTATGCCGAATGGCTTTCCAGAAAAATTGCAATTTACGAGTGAAAATTTTGCACCACTGAAACCGTTTCCATGTAAAAGATTAAACTGCCCAGCTGGCAATCGCTAATGTGGCTTGGTTCATTTATGCTTAGCGTCGTCCATTTTAGAATAACTAGATTATAAATGATATTTACGAGGATTGTCGGAAGCCTGCGTCAACCGTACCTTATCACTTTATTGCAGTTCGACTACAGAGAACTCTAATCCCACACCGTCCCCTGCTTTCGGCCCTGGACAAAACTTCGTCACTTCGACGCCGATCGTATCAAGCACCAAAGGAGAAGTATCATCAACGTCTCGGCTTTCGACGTCGAACCTTCAGAATACCGGATGGGCGGATCTACCAACCGTGATCACACTTCCGGCGGACGAACGCCCTCCGTTGACACAAGTGACCCGTGCCTTGTGGCCGATAGAGTTGACCCAGTCGCCATTCTCCTTACCGTGAGTACATAGAAAACATATGTAGAGTCGTAATATAATGAAGTAAGCTGGGGCCATATGTTCTGGTCCACGAGTTCCAAGTCCGGTGTGCGCCGAGATTCGGTCACCTTTCCGATACACTTTCGATCCAAAATGGCTATGTAGAATACATAAAAATTCATATTCTCTTTCTCTTTGTTTATATCGGATGCCCGGATCACAGACAAGAGACCCTTCACTACTGGCCTCTTGGCGACAGGTGGAATCTTTTACTTTCGGGGATGCAACAATTCCTTGAGGACAATTATAAGGGAGCAACAGTCATCACCCTAATTTCGGCTGTTGACCTACCTACATGGTGGATGCGATGAACCTTGGGTGACGTTATGAGCCAAACAAGTTTCCGAAACTTCCGTGTGCGTTTGCAAAACGAAACTGCCAACACGAATTTCAGTGAATTTTCTGATTATGGCAAAGCAAATTCCTTAGCATTTTCAAAGAAGTCCGCTCAAACGTTCCCTAGTAAAAAATTAAATTACCCGGTTAAATTAGACAATAGCTGATGTGCCTTAGTTCCTTTCTGCTTAACGCGGTCCAATTTGACTATTTCTGCCAAACGGTACTATGTGCATTATGACTTGAGCCCTATTAAGCATATATTCTTATGGGTCTCGGGGCTCATGTCTCAATGCACACAGTTCCGTTTGACAGAAATACGTCCGATCCTGAGTCTCGAAACATTCAGATCTCCCGGACGCAATAACTCCGGGACCTCACGTACGGATTTCCTCGAGCTCTCGGCACGAGAGACGGAGAGGCACGCGAAATAAATTGGCAATTGTGTAATCTGGTTTAACCGCGGAGGCAAAAGTATTGCGGTGAAGTATCAACTACCGACGGGGCGGCGCACGGCGGTAATATCGTATCGGCGAACATTTACGAGGACCGGGGGGCGATCGGAGTAATAGCGGCGGGAAAGGCATCCGGGCAGGGGAAATGAATGAAGGACGAGGATGGAGAGGGTAGGAATAACATCGGGACCCCTGTTGCCAAACCTACCTTCAGCAAATTTTATTTATTTTACCTGTCGGACACGGATTTTGTGAAAGTACCTGTGTGCACGGAGGAAAAAACTTCGTGCATGCATGGGACCCGAAGTTGAGGTCATATGGATCTCTGAAATTTTCGGATCAACGCATCAAAAAACTTGAGGTCCAACTGCCGAAGTTCGGGTCAGACTAGAGTACCTGTATAGCGAGAGTATAGACTAGACAGATGCGAAACTCCGAAAATCCATCAGGCCTTCACCGATGCCTCCGCGAATAAAATTAGGGCCCAGAAATGCAGCCAACCTATGAATTTCAATTATCCAGAACGATTTATTAATACAATTGTTACGAACCATCGTTTATAAAGCACGTATTTGACTTCGTTTTTGCATAAATTTACTAATTTTTGCGGAAGAACGCTCATTTGTGTACATCTTAGCCATCTTGGTTAGAATTGGAATCTGCAGACTGGTAGTGAAATGTTGTGCGTTAAAAGTTGGTTAGAAGGGTGGCTGCACTTTTGGGCCCTAAGCCCTCCATGAAGCGATCTGTCCATACTCTCGCTATACAGGTACTCTAGGTCAGACATCTGAAAAACTTAGGTATGTACCGGACACTTCAGATGTCTGACCCGAACCCCTCGGTATGTATACCTAAGTACTTCAGATGTCTGACCCGAACTTCGGCAGCTGGACTTCAAGTTTTCGGATGTAAGATCCGGAAACTTCAGAGATCCATTACACCTCAACTTTGGGTCCCTCGCACGAAGTTTTTTTCTCCGTGTGCGTATAGGGACAGCATGGAAATGCTGAAATAATGCCGCAATGGCGAAGAGAGCAGTAACCGTCAAATTTTCGAAATCGAGTTTCCTTTAAAATTCGTCTATATAAACTTTTTTAAATGAAACACTGGAAAAAAAGTGGATTGGATCTAGAGCCCAGACTCTTAAATTCATTAACAAGAAAAAATACCCCTAAATCAATCGGACTTTTTGCTTGGATCAAAAGGAAATCCGCCTAAATCAAGAGGCTCGGCTCTTCGATCCAAAGAGAAATCGGATTGAATCAAAAGTATTTTTTCTTGTCAATGTTTTTAAGAGTCTGGACTCTTGATCCAAGCTACTTTTTCCAGTGAATTACTGAAAATGCAACAACAGTAAAATTCACCTCAATTAAGTCAAAACGAGGCACATGAGAGAGCAGAATTATTATATGATAATATCTAATCTAATATCTGAAGTGCGCAAAAAATGACGTAGGTGTAGGCAAAATAGCAGTAAGTGACAAAACCCTCAAGAGAGCCGATGAAAACAGTGCTTTCAAGTAAAATGCCGCCCTCTTATGCGAATTTCTAACCTGAAAATATGTTTGTTGGGTGTCCAAAACACAACCACGAAAGCATGCAGAGATAGTTTGTCCGGCTGTCTTGCCGATCAATAACCTAGCATGGAAATGAAAAATACCCTTTATGGGTAATTGAAATAAAATCAGTCGATGTATAATCATCCAAACAACTTCCATTTGACGAAATTCGAAAAATTTCAAATATTTGCATTTCTCGCTTAAATTGTGACAAAAAAATGAAAAAATTCCGGACCTTCTTGCGGGATTTCCGCACCTTTTCAGTACTTCCCGACCGCTGTTAAAAAATCAGTACGAATTCCGAACTTTCCAGAAATTCCGGACTTAGATACGCCCTACTTATCCTGTAATTCAAAAGAATGAAAAACTGTCATGAATTCTGAGACAACTTGTAATTTGAGATTGCCCGCCTTTAGAGTCCCTTTATACTGAGAGTAAAGACAAAGCGAATCCATTCCTGATTGGTTCCCGTATTTTAAGTCTTCACAGTGTCACAAACGGGAATAAAGATTACATTTTCACGGATTGCAAAGATTATAAACTGAAATGGACCGAGACATTGGGGGTACGGCAAGGAACAAATGGAATAAGAGAGGGAACGGAGATAGGAATTCGGGAATGGGTTGATCAAAGATTACAAAAAACGTCCGATTTGCGTAATCTTTATCCCCGTTTGTGACATCCGTAAGCCGTGTTGTCTCAACTCTCTCTATAAAGGGACTCAACCCGCGCCAAGTTTGGCAACGCAGTGAAGCGGAAAAGTAATCTAGTGTGAAATATTATGGTAGAAATCGCAGTCTCGACCAATATCTATGAATATTCTTCTCCGAACGGAAGAGCGCACACCGAGTCCCATTTCTCCTGTCGTCTCGTTGGCTTGCAGAAGCCGCACTACGGATAATTTTTTTTTAAAGTAGGGTTCTAAAGCGTCCCGTAGTGCTCGGCGAAAAAGTTATTGCGGTCCGTGAAAGGTCGCTTGACATTAACACCCTCTTGAGCGGTGATAAATGAGACGCAAAGTTGTCCTAAGTTTATGCTAGTATTGCATGGTCATGCAGTGAGCCTGTCGGCGAGAGACGGCGATGTAGTTTGAGTGAAGTCATTTTTTATGAGAGCAGGGTGGGGGTAATGCTGATGGTGGCAGTGGTACAGGAGGTGGATACTGGATACCGGCCCCAATAGCACACCGAAAGACAAGTTTGTTTTAGAAAAATTGCATTTTAATTAGGGCTCTTAGGGCCCAAAAAGGCACCCACTCTTCTAACACCAAAAATGTCACGGTCAATCTTTAGCGTACCTTTATACGGAGAGTATGGACTTCGGGTGTCATGGAGGGCTTAGGGCCCAAAAATGGCGGAGTTTTTTTATGTTTTTAACAATGGGAAGGTGATTCATTGCCAACTTTTGACGGTTATCACCAACCGCACTTGCTGCCAACCTTACTGTATCCAAGATCTCGAAAATAGCAAACGATTAGCCGCGGAACTATGTAAGTACGACGTAACTATGCATTCGAGTAAATTTCTCGTTGCGATATGCAAATGAAACTACATTTTGAGTCATTTTGCGTTCACAATTACTAACAGCGGCTGCCATTTTTAAATCTAGAAGGCTCCACTCACCCTATGATGGCTGAGCCAATCAGGGGTGGTAATCGTGGTGACCATACTCTCCCCATAAAGGTAGTCCAGTACACCGGTAGCCGGTGGTAGGCCTGACACCGAGAAATTACAACCAATGCAGAGTGTACCGTGCTTTACGCGCAACGCGTGAAGTATTCCTACAGTCTTGTAGGCGCTTATATGCGTTAGGCGCAATGCAAGAAGTATCCATGCAGTCTTGTAGGCGCTGATATGCGCCGGCTGGTTCGCGCAACGCTGAAGCCACTGCTTCATAGGTTTGTTGCCCTTTTGGGCCCTAAAAGTTCCATGACCTAACCACAAAATTACCGACTTGTCTACATTTTCTCGCTCTGTATAGGCACTCAAATTGTAATCTCTCAGGTATAAATTTGTTGAGCAAAAATTAAAGACTTGATTTCTAATAGACCTAAAATCAGAGTTAGGAAGGAAGAAGAAGAAGTAGGAGAAATGGATATGAAAGAAGAGGAAGGAGGGGAGAAAGATGGGTACGAAGACAAAGAAAAAGAACAAGAACAAATGGAAGACAAAGAACAATATTAAAACCAAGAAGAAGAACAAGAACAAGAAGAGGAAGAAAAAGAATATGAAGAAGAAGACGACAAAAAAGAAGACAAAGAAAAGGCATCTGCATGCGGAAAAACATTGATAGCACGTACGTTATTGTTCATAAAACGAGCATGAAATAGTAGTTCCTTATTCCGAAATGCAGTCCAAGTGTAACGCCCTTCAAATAAGCCGGCTAATTTTTCGCCGCAAGAGAGTAACCGACGACGAAGGATTTCCCGGAGCTCTGCGTATTTGTCGGGAAATTATTCGGTGGAAAAATAATTTTCCGCCGGTTGGGCGTGGCGCGAGGGGGTGCTTTGATTTAAGGTAATATTTTAAAGTATATCAGACGGCGTAATGAAATACGAGGCCACGAGGTCCTGGCTCACTCCCGCGCGCCTGGTAAATTGATTATGGTTGTTAAAATCCCTCCTCGCTCTATTATTTCTTGGGCACGTATGCAAGGAGGCTCGAGGGAGACGCAAATTTCCGCCGTCGCACTATGGATCGCGTCAATAGGAAAGGTCGGACAAAATTTGGAAACTTTAAAGGCCTATAACTCCGTTCTTGCAAACTTTTGAGGTTTTAGAAGTGGCCCCATTGGTTTCCTCGTGAAATTTTCTTCTAGAAACACCCCTAAAAGTTTGAAATGTGACGAAATAAACATCGATATTTACAATTTTTGTTAAAAAATTCATGTTCAACTTGTTCCAAAAACTCATTCCAGGGTGCGCCTGGATGCAACTTTTTGTGTTCAAAGGATAAGCTTGTTGCATACGCTTAAAATAGAAGGCAGGCTGACTTGGCTCTGGAATTTGGAAACTTTAAAGGCTTATAACTCCGTTCATGCAAACTTTTGAGGTTTTAGAAGTGACCCCATTGGTTTCCTCGTGAAATTTTCTTCTAGAAACACCCGTTAAAGTTTGAAATGTGACGAAAGAAACATAAAAAATTGCGGTTTCGGTCAAAAATTGTGTGTCTGACCTCTCTGATTGACTCGATCCACTGTGCGACGGCCGAAGTGCAAAACCACGTATCAAACCGTACCGGTACCGGTACGATTCGTACCGGTTGCGACGTTGCAAACTTCCTGTCATACTTTATTTTTTCCATGGAAAACCAGTCGACGCAATTTCTTGAAAATTTCTTCGATTTTCCTTCCCTGCTGTTGAACTATTCTTTATAGATTTTAAGCTCTGAGATCGGTTTATCTCTCTTCTAAAAAATAAAATATGAGCAGAAATTCGCCGCACAAAGGATCGAGTCAATAGGAGAGGTTGGACTTTGGGAACTTTAAAGGCCTATACTTACATCCGTTCATGCAAACTTTTAAAGTCTTAAGAATGGGCCCATTGGTTTACTCGTGAAATTCTCTTTCAGGAACACGCCTTAAAATTCAATATGTGACAAATTCAACATCGAAATTTTCAGTTTTAGATAAAAAATTGCACGTCCGACCTCTCTAATTGACTCGATCCACTGTGCGTCTCAGGGATGTAAATCAAGGAGGGGCCATTTCACTGTTCTGAGGAAAAACGCCGTGTAAGAATCCGAAGGTTGGACGTATTTATGCTAAAAAGAACTATGTTACGCGCAATCCTTATGCACATAGTTCCTTTTAGCACAAATATGTTCAGTTTACAAGGGCCCAAATTCAGACGAAGGAATACACAGGAGAAGGTTGATTGTGATTAACCTTACCTTAAATTGATCTGGAATGGAGCTTGTGCTGGACATCCATTTGCCGGTCTCTCGACTGGAACAAGCCTCTTCCATCTTATCGCTGACGGACAGAATCATGTCGTCTAATGTCATTACATTAATTTCGAAATGGGAATCTCCGGTAGTAAGTTCCGAGGGCTTGAACACCGCATTCGGCCTGCACTAAGATGTTCTCATTTTCACCGATAACGATCATTAGTTCACTGCCACGCACTTCGTCCGAAGCAATCCCATTTCTTGGGAACTAAAACTTCTTTTCTTTTTTATTGCACCTTGAACAGTAAAAATTCTCAATTCTCGCCCGACTGTGGTAACTTTTGTTTATAAAATCCCCTTTAACGCAGTTTTTTGGGATAAAAAAGAATTTTTAAAATTAAGGATATCTGCCTCAGAATCATTCCGGAAGGATTGATGATTGGACGACAATCTTATGTTTATTTTTATCTGAAGAATCAAGGGACCTGGAACAAAGAAAGAAACAAAACGTCAGCAGAAGTTAATCATCACAATTCTGTAAAAAAAATTTCTCGTAATGTGCGTTCAAAGTCAACATATTTACAGACGTATAAACCCACGTAACCCTACGGAAAAGGATCGACAAACAGGGTGTTCGCAACGAACACCTAAATAATCGATTCTTTATCATAGCTTCAAATGGGAAAATATCGAAAATCGATCATTAGCGCCTCGCCACTGGACGTATGTCAATGTAAGAAATAAACATGCCTCTGGACGCTTTGTAAATTGTTTCATCTGTTTGCATCGTTTCAAGTCCCAACGCTCCCGATACTTCCAAAAAATTGAAATTGTGTAAAACACTTTGGCTTCGACGTTATTTTGAATCAATAAACACTAAAAGTACTAGTCGTTGAGCAGTAAGACTATTTCAACTAAAATATTTCGATTCATCGTTCTCATGTAAAGTTTTGAATGATCAATTGATCAAACTTCTTATCGAACAGCAGCAAAACAACTGATAAGAGCGATGAGCACTTCCTATAAGATCTATTCCCAGTTAGTGTAGAGTTAGTCACGACTGAGCAAGTCCAAGTTTTGTGATTCTGGTAAGAATAGTTTTCGGGCCACATTTCGTCGTTCACATGCCGGGCAAATTTCAATATTTTCTGCGGCTATCAAAAAAAGATAGTCCTTATATGGGCCAGTTCTCTTTGGATTGACCCACAGGGGCCCGCAAAGCGGGCTTCAAAGGGAGCAAATCGTATCAGCAGATCCAGACATTATGAATGAGGGGAGTGGATTTTTTTTGACCCCGTACACTCCGGGGATTCTAGTGAGTGTAAAATATCCTTCGGGAGTATTTTGGTTTTTATTCGGGCGAACGGGGGGGGGGGGGGGGTACGCTCCCCGCTTGGATCCGCCTATTGCTAAGCGCCCCCTGGAGGTTGGGCCGTCTAACGGCGAACCTCAGAAAATTATTTTATATTTTAAATGTTGACTAACTATTTGCAGAGGAGAAAATGCAGTCGTGGGTGGTGATTCTTTTACTTGTGGCAATGGTTCAAGGCGGACCTTTGGGATCTATACATATGGAAACTCAAGTGAAAATCGAGAAACCTCAGATAGGGAGACAACCGCTGAAGATGATCGATGTTCAGAGAGTGGACAGAACTGATGACGTGGACCTTCTTATTAAGTGTCACAAGGAGTATATTCAAACTTGCTGTGAGGGAGATCACTACAAGTAAGTTCTTGAATTTGTTATAGATGTTACAGGCAAATGTGAAAACCTCGGCAGATTACGATGTGACCAAATCTTGTGAAAAATTTGTACAATAAACATAATTTTTCTCTTATAAGTTATGTAAATATATATGAGGTTCCACTGAAAATATTTAGGGGCCCTTGTAAAATCCTGGAGGGAGAGGTGGAAAGTGTGGTAATTTGCAATTTCAAAGGGTCGAATATTTTACAGTCATATAGAAACGTCCTATTCATGACGTTGCTTCTTGTCATATTTCATTTATTTATGGCAAATCAAGCATTATCCTAGAAAATCTATATGATTCACCTTGCTTCAAGTTAGCTTTGTTTTAAAAGCTGAATGGAAAACTATAAAAAAATATCGAGCATTACCCGAGATTAGGTGGGATTTATATAATGCTCGGCCGAATACACTGAATAGTATTTGGGTGAAATTCAATCATATAGTTTTTTTTTCTAAAGTGAGAGATACGATTCTGAGACGTCACAATCGTCACTTCACTATGGTGGCTCACAGGGGCGAGGCGTAAATGATAGATTTTTCCCCATTTGAAGCTATGGAAAAATTTCGATTATTAAGGTGCTCGTTGCAAACACTCTGCATATGGATCCTTTTCCATAGATTTAATTGGCAGATCAATCGATACATCGCAAAGTGCTCGACACGACACTGGTGGCTCAGTTGCTTAACTATTAATGTCTTAGATCACTCATTTGTCAATGCGCGACCTGTCTACATATACATGGTCCGTAACTACAAAAAAACTCATTCGGTATAAGGGTGAGAAAAAATCGGAAAGATTCAAGTATTTGGAACTTTGCTGGGAACGCACAACCATCCTTTCTTTTTAAAAGAGACAGGTGCACTCTGCTGTGAAATTGTCACTTGGCAGTTTCTGCAACCCTAAGAAAACTTTAGAGATGGGACTGTGAATAAAGTACATTTTCTTTTCGCCACGATAAAAAATGATTTGCAAAGCACCAATGAAATTTAAGTGACTTTCAGTACCTACTTATTCATAGTTCTTGGTTTAGCCTCTTTCATATAACCGGACCTTGCCAGGTTGAATGTTTTCTTTATTATACATGAATTTTGCCACCGGCCCTTCTCATAAGTTCACTTTCCCAGATTGTCATACGTGTTCGATTTTATTTTCAGGGTGCCAATGTACATCCACACCGAGAAAGGCGTCGAAAAATGCTCTGCTTACGCTAGATGTTGCAAGCTGTAGATCAAGTGAAATGCCAAACATTCTCATTCAAACCCTAACTGTACCAGGAAATGATAATTTGATCACATGAAACCTCCAATCGATTGAGACATTAATGTTATATTTTGTTTTAGTCAGTTTTCTTATCTATCAAAGCTTATTTTTTAAGCTGAATTGTAAATAAAAAAACTATTCCGAAATTATACATAAATTCCGAAAGCAATACCTAGTTCTTGAAACTCCCCACATCGAAGAGAAAGATAAATTAAGGGAGCCTATATAGCGGCTATATAGGCTCCCTTAATTTACTATATACTATTATAGCCCCCATGTAGGTCCGTCTCTGCTTAGCATGACCAAGATGAAGAAGAAAAGGCGGAAGAAAGGAGCATACAGAAGGAGAATCAGAAGAAAAAGAAGATGGAGGATGAGAGGATGGGGCTTTTTTATGTAGGAGAACTTATATTTTTAATAGAAATACACAAGATCTACGAAAAATATATTCAACCAGAATCAATCTTTTAGTAAAAAACATTGCTTTCAATGTAGCAAGAATAGTTCTATGGGGCCTCCCCTTCGTATCAAGATTTTATTCAAAAGAAATTATTATAGAGATGATTATAATCACCCCATTGAACAAAATTCTGACTTTAACTTGCCTGACTTGGAATAAGAGAAGTAAGATAAACGTAAATAAAAAAAAGACGAAAAATATCAAAAATAATCACCATGTTTTGAAAAGCGCGCTGTAAATTGAGGACAATGAAAATAAAGAGCGCCTTAAATCGTGGCAACAACGCACGCACCTCGTCGCATTTCCCCGTTAATTTGTTCGGGAAAAAAAAGTGTTGAGGAGGTGATAATGGAGAGGCGGACCAGGCAGAGTTTGCAGGGCATTTGCATGCGCGGGAAAAAGGAGGTCGCCGAGTTTGAGTTTCCACGGCGGAAACGGGCGGCGAGACGCGGAGTGGGGTGAAGGGGGGGGGAGAAGATTGATTGATTTATCTTTTAAATTGAGACCTACTCGCGGAATGAAACACCTCTTCTCTTCCTCGAGGCGATTAGCGCCGGTCTCAGAGAGCGGGGAATTGTTTTTATGAGATCGGGAGAATATCCAAACGGGTACATAATTAGTGTCCCGCACTGAAAAAAAAATCTCGTTGTGTTTACTAAGAAGAGGGCAATATTACCAAGAATTCAGGGTTCTATTTGATCCCAGTTTTTCCTTGGTAAAATTACCATTTGGATCGAGTTTAACAGAAAGGAACCAAGCCACATCAGCTATTGCCAAATTTAACGGGCCAATTAAATTTTTTACGAGAGAAAGTTTGTCCGGATTCCTTTGAAATTTTTAAGGAATATGCTTCGTACCATGGAGAATTTTCACTAAAATTTGCACGAAAATCCCCACAACCGTTTTTATGTAAAAAATTAAATTGCCCAATTAAATTTGGCAATAGCTGATGTGGCTTGGTTCCCTTCTGTTTAACGCGGTCCATTTATGGAATTGGTAATTTTACCGAGAAATCTCGGAAAAGTTATTAAACTTTCTCCGTAACTTTACTGGACCTTGGTAAAAACGCCAATATTTTTTATCGACCGTGGTAGAATTACCGAGATAAAATGGCAAAGTTACAGGGAATTGATTACCAATAAAAGTGGTATTCTTACCTGAAAAAAACAGTAAAAATACCGGTTTTTAGGTAAGCTTACCAGTCTGTCTTGGTAAAATTACCAATGATTGGTAAAAAAAGTGAGATGGTATAGGTACCAACGGACCTTGGTAAAAACGCCGAGAATTTTTTTTCAGTGCGATGTTTTGGTTTGAAGGCCTGAAATGGGTTTTTGTTGATACCTAGAAAAACTTCTGACTGTCACACAGATGGGGCAATAGTGGGGCCGATAAGTGGAAAATATCATAACAATCGTGCACTTCTGGAAGAAAGCCTGAAAATTTCAGGGATTCCTCTCTACCCTAATGACATTCGATTTAGACATAGACCCCAAAAATCTTAGCCCCTGGGGGGCAGGGGGGCCCCCAAATTTTGAATTTTGAATAACTACGGAACGGCTAATGTTAGCGTAATTTTTTTAGAATAGAACGATGGGAAATTTTATTAGGAACAAAACTGGTCCTTATGAATTTTTCCGTGGGATCGATATTTTAGGCGTGAAAACGGGAAAAACCATCGGGGGACGGGGAGCCGGCCGTTCTGAGGCAGATCCGCGCGCTGCGCTGCCTGCCCGGGACGCGCGCGGCGGCGCGGTACGGTGTTACCGACGAAACAACCGCCCGCTTGTCTTTGTTTAATCTCAACGATGCGCAGTTTTAAAAATATTACAAATTTACCGTACTGCCTAAATACTTTTCCGTAGTAATATAAGCCTTACTTTATATTAGCAATAAATAAAAGCAAGCAAAAGGCGAAAGACTCAAATGTGAGAGCGCCGAGTCAACAGGAGGGGTCGGTCATCGCGCATCACGTGTCTCGTTTTCCATGAATACAGAGCTTTTCTGACCTCAGTACAGAGTAAATTACCCTCTCCTTACGTAATTTTTGTAAAGGATTACATTTTTTAAGATATTAGAGCGAAATAAGATTTAAGTAGATAAAGATTTTAATAGATTCTGACCCACTTTTTCATGCCTACTGGAAATGGGATCCTTAATAACTTATTTTTAGCTTATTTTTCATGTTACTTTCGGCGAATGGGACCATGAGCTGCTCACATAAGCAAGAATTCTGCAATACTTGACGCAAAGACATTACTTGAGGAGTGAGGAGGGGGGGGGGGGCGGCTTCACAGTCCCTTGCCATTAAGGTGCCCAGATTTCCTTCCTTTTCCTCTAATAGGTATCGTTTTTCGTTCATGTTAATTGGTTTCTCGCAATTGCATGGGTACTGATACATACGGAACATTCCGACAGTGTTCTTTTCTCTTACTCCAGCCAGTCAACAGACGTATTCATTTTCATGAACTTCCCACTCTTTCAGATATTCAACAAATATGCATATTTCACAAAATAGAACGATATATCAAATGAATAATAAAACAAGCAGTGAACTCCAACACAATGTGTTGATAAGGCGCGTCATTAACTCGCACATATCAACCCCTTTAGTTTTCATTTACAGAGATTTCAAAATAGGCAAACAGCATAAAAAGAGAATTCACGATCCAACACTGCGAGGTCAAAGACGCACCTTGACGAGACCGTGTATTGTGAAAGTAGAAAGCTATTCGATCGAATTTAAGTTTTTTGATCTGCCTCAAGCAAAATCTTATCAGATTCTTGAAGAAAAGTGCTACGGAATAATTTAAGCGAAGAAAGGAAAAATTCTGTCGAACTCCTAGAAGATAAAGTCGATTTAAAGGTATTTTGGGGCTAAAATACCCAAATCACCGGTAGTAAAAATCCCGTTATATTATTGAAAAGAAATTGACTCGATATAAATGCAATTGCATTAAATACGTCTTGATTTTGTTATTTTAAACGTCTTTCCATGCAAAGAAGTTCAACCATGTCGTTGCTTTATTCATTCATGAATTGAAAGTAAGCAATCTACATCCCGAAAATCTACTGATTTGCCGTAAAAAATTGCAGAAACTTGATATACCAGGTCGATGCACCCACTCGTTGAATTTACCAACCAATTTTGTGAGTGCAAATGTGTAAGAATCAATATGCTATAGTCATTTTGGGTGCATTTATTTTTCATGAAACAATAATAATTTCAATCCCGAAAAACCATCAATTTTCCGTATAAAATCGAAAAAATCAAAATATGTCAACTCCCCGACGTGAAAATTAGATTCTACGTATGTAAAATGTAAATACTTATGTATCGATATGCTGAACAGAACTATGTGTGGACAGTCAGAAGCCCGCGGCAACATTAATTCAACAGAAAAACTGTAAAAATTAGATAGGATTTTAGCCGCTTTGCCCGCCTCTCCTCGCTACTTACAACAAACCGTTCTTATACTCATCTCAAAATTTTTCTCAGAGCTTTGGGTTATTATCAGCTTCCATTTAAACTCCGGTTCGATGGCCGAATCGGCTGCCAAAAAAGCAAGCCACTGTTGAGGGGTTCTATGAGAAATTCGTGATATTATCGGCTCTCAGGAAATCACCCCATGGCTAAAATTGGTGGTATAAATGTTTAAGTGCTTAAAATAATCGTATTCAAGAAACTAAGGAATTAAACTATGGAGTCAATTTCTTTTTAATAATATAACGAATTTACTACCGGTGATTTAGCTATTATAGCCCCAGAATACTTTTAAAGCGCCTTTGCGTTCCAGAATCTCGACGGAATTTTTTTTTTTTTTTTTTTTGCTTAAACGATTCAAGAAACATTGTAGTTAAAAATATAAAGATTTTTCGATTTGGACGTATGAAAAATGTTTAACTCGTTCAGGCACACCGTGTATTGTATGGAGTACTGCTGTTATTCGACCGTTGTCTTCAGGTCAAAATTCTTACAAAGAAGCCCCTTGCAAGAGGCAAATTTTTTGTAATTTCTCCCAGTTTTTTCAGCGTTAGGTATATAAATGAATTGTTTGTCAAATTTTGAGGTCAATTATATTTAATTGTAATTTATACTTTCTTTTTTTCCCCTTCATTTTATTTTTCGTATCGAGGAGTCGAGGTTTTGTTGATTTCTTCGGATTTCGATTACTGTAACTTCTCTTCTATTCGGCCGATTTTTATGAATGAGGTCTCTTTTTATTTGTGTTTTAACGGAGAGTAAGGAAAAAATTGCTAAATACATGCGAAACAATTTTTTTTGAAAATTGGATGAATCCTAGCGTGACGGTGAAATGGTTAATGAAGCGTGAGTAATTGGGGTACGGGTATCGGCCGCGTTGGGACCCAAGGCCCATTGTTCTTCGTGACGCCGACGCAGTGATCAGGAGCGTGGGGACGAGAGGGCTTAGTGGACTCCTGTATGAGCCACGTTTAGCAAATGGTCTAATGAGTCTCGAGGCTCATCACAGATTGCACTTACCACTATCCTGGTGGCCCCGGCTATCAGAGCAAGGAGTACCAACTTTTGAAAAGGATAACAGTGTTGTGGAGATATGTCAAAGCAACGTTGTGAACAAAACGGAGTGAGTGAAATTCTCATTCAAGGAGTGCCGAACTGGTCAGCCATCCTCGAATCAGTTCGCTTGCTTCCGCTTATATATGCATATTTTAAATCAGCGCGCCCCATT